GAAAACTCTGTCAGACGGACTCGGGCGCGTGGAACCCAGGCGCAGGGTTGGACCTAGTAAGCGACTCAGCGAGCGACCACGGAGAAACAGCGAGGGAGCAGGGCTGCGGGTTGACTGTGGTCGTGCTTTCCTGCTCAGATCGACAAGCAAGGGAGTGAGACTACGGGACTGAGCAGGCCCCACGGCCAGCGGCAGCACAGGGCACCGCCATTTCCCTGCTCTAACCCCGCCTCCACATATAGCGTCATAACCCAGCGACCTGAGTGGCCCCGCCCTGGTGAACCACATAAGGCACTGCTCCTCACCCAGCGGCGAGAAACAGCAGAGATAGGTCGCCATTTCCCCACTCTGACCATGCCCCCACATATAGCATCACAACCCAGCGACCTGAGAGTTCAAGGCTCCACTACTCATATTTAAGGGGCAAGAACAGACCAAAAATGGCTCAAGAAGATCTCAAAGCCCCAGAGCCTATAAATCTAAGTGATGAAGAAATAGCAAAACTCTCAGACGCACAGTTTAAAACACTGGTGAACAGGATGCTCACAGAACTGGTTGATTTTAGTCACAGATTAGAGGAACATATGAAGGCTAAACTAATTGAAATAAAGGGAAATGCACAGGAAACCAACAGTGATGGAAAGGAAACTGGGACTCAAATCAATGGAGTGAACCAGAAGGAAGAAAAAAATGACCAAACAGAAAAGGATGAAGAAACAAGAATTCAAAAAAATGAGGAGAGGCTCAGGAACCTCCAGGACATCTTTAAACGCTCCAACATCTGATATATAGGGGTACCAGAGGGGAAGAGGAACAGCGACAAGTGGAAAACTTATTTGAACAAATAATAAAGGAGAATTTCCCCAATCCGGCAAAGGCAATAGACTTCCAGGAAATCCAGGAAGCTCAGAGAGTCCCAAAGAAGTTGGACCACACCAAGGCACATCATTATTACATTAGCCAAGATTAAAATGAAGGGAAGAATCGGAGAAGCAGCAAGAGATAAGAGGACAGTCACCTACAAAGGAGTTCCCATCAGACTGTCAGTGGATTTCTCAAAAGAAGCCTTACAGGCAAGAAGGGGCTGGAAAAAAGTATTCCAAGTCATGAAAGGCAAGGACCTACATCCAAGATTGCTCTATCCAGCAAAGCTTTCATTTAGAATGGAAGAGCAGATAAAGTGCTTCTCGGATAAGGTCAAGTTCAAAGAGTTCATCATCAAGCCCTTATTATATGAAATGTTAAAGGGACTTATCTAAGAAAAAGAAGATAAAAAATATAAACAGTGAAAGGACAGCAAACTCACAGTTATTAACAACCACACCTAAAACAAAAGTAATCTAAGAGGACAGCTAGATCAGGAGCAGAACCATAGAAATGAAGATCACATGGAGGGTTAGCAACAGGGGAGTGGGAGAAGGAGAAGGGGGGAGAAGGTACAGAAAATAAGTAGCATAGATGGTAGGTAGAAAATAGATAGGGGGGAGGGTAAGAATAGTAGGGGAAATATAGAATCTAAAGAACTTGTGACTCATGGACATAAACTAAAGAGGGGGAATGGTGAGGGAGGGGGTGTGCATGGTGGAGGGGAATGGAGGGGGGGAATAGGACAACTGTAATGGCATAATCAATAAAATATATTTTTTTAAAAAGAAGAAGAGGGTGGAGAGAGCTTTTTCTCTATTTGTTGCTTCTTAATTGCCTTCAGCTCAATATAATTTCTATGTCCAAGAGGCATATCTGGGGGACATAATCTGGTTTCTTTCAACAGTAAATCCATGTTTGTGGCTGAGTAGTTTCCAAAGCCTTCTTCCTTCCAGTAATCTTTGAGGGGTCCAAAGACCTGTTACCATATTGTGCTGTCTCTGTGCCCTTCAGTTTCAGTTGACATAATACTTTAACAATGTTTCAGGCTTTTGGCAAGTCAGTACATAATTCACTCTATCAGACAAAAGCCACAACCACAGTTCTTCATGAGATAAGCCCTTTTCTGCCACAGCTTCTTTGCATTTCCTGTGGAACAAGACCCTTAAGACTCTTGGGTATCCAATTGTTTAGCAGAGAAGTTTTTCAAGACATACCAGTAAGACCTGTAAAAGGCCATGTGTGTTGAGCAATGCCTGATATTGAATCTTTTCCCAGAGCCATTTCTTAATTTTAACCTTGTTTACCATCTGGAGAGGCTTGGATGAGAAAAACAATTTCTTTTTCAAATGCAGCGTGTTCTAACTCCTGTATATTCAGGGGATCATTTCTTCAGTTTATCTCTCTTTTCTTGCATTTTGTCAAAGGCAGTAAGAAGAAACCAGATGGCCTTCCTAATATTCTACCTTCATCTCCTTAGCTAGAGCAGGGGTCAGAAAAGTACTGCTGATGGACAGGTTTCTATTTTTTATAAACATTCTCATTAGAACATACCCACATCTATATGCTAATTTCAGGCCATTATGGCAGACGTGAGGAGTTACAGCTCAGAAACAAAATATTTACTGTTAGGCCCTTTACAGAACAAATTTGACAACTCCTGACCAAGATCATTTAGGTCATGTTAGCACAGATAACAGTGTCACCAATTTCTGGCACTGCATAACAAGGACCCTTTACCACCAACTTCCACTTTTTTTTCACTTTCCTTTAATCCCTCACTGTCACCATTTGTAGGCTTTCGCTAACACTCTACATAGGGACCTTCCTCTTTTCTGCCTGCCACCTGCTCCCACAGGCAAAGCCACACGTTTTCAGTTTTTGTTAGCACCCTACTTCAGTGTACTAAGTATATTCTGGCTGTCTGACTGCATAGCAAACTCATTCCAAAAGTAGGTAGCTTAGAACAAAAAGAATCATTTTATTATTTCCTCTCAGAGTTATGAGAGTAGACTGGACTCTGCTAAGTGGTTCCCTCTTGGGACCTCATGAGTTTGCAGTACAATGTCGGTCGGAGCTAATGTCACATGAAGGCAACTTCACTCAAAGCCAGAATAATGTCACACGGTTTCTTCAAGTGGTCTTGGCTTCCTTGCAGCGTGGTGTCTGGGTTCCAAGAGAAGACATCTCAGCAAGAGAATAAGAAAGAAGCGCGTATTATTTTCATAACCAACCCTCAGAAATCACATGTCATCACTTGTTCCATACTCTATTGTTTGAGGCAGTTACAAAAGGTCACTCAGGTTCAAGGACAGGAGACGTAAAAGCCATTGCAGGATGGAAGGAGTGTCAAGAGCACACTGGGAGCATAACATGTAGCAGGAGAGACCCTGTGGTGACCATCTTGGGAGACACCAGGCTGCATAACCTGCCACTCAGCTATGAGAAATGTCACATTTCTCTACTTTTCCAAATCAAAACAAGTGTGTCTGCGTTTGCCTTGATGTACCCTACCAATAAGAGTTGGGGGAAAGTTCAAATCTACTCCCATTTTGCCCTCCCTCAGAGTTAGACTGGAACTCTGAGTCTTTATACACACCAGAAATTTCTGGTGGAGGCAGAGAAAGGGAGGTGACGAAAATGACTCCTGGACTTGTGTATAACCAGATGGGTGGTTGAGAGAGAGAACATTGGAAGACAAACAGGTTTGTTTTATTTTGTGTTTGTATGTGCACATGAGACAAGGAAGCAAAAAGATTTTGACTCTCAACATTTTGGTTTTGAGGCATAATTGAGACCTCTACTATGAGATGTCAGGCAGAACATTGGTATAAGAGAGAAAAGCTAAACAATGCAGCCTGGGCTGGAGATACACATCTGTAAGTTGTCTGTGTAAGTGGTATTACAAATGTAGGGGTGGCCCTGGCTGGTGAGGCTCAGTGGATTGAGTGTAAACAGAAAGGTTGCCAGGTTGGCTCCCTGTCAGGGCATGTGCCAGGGTTACGGGCTGGGTCCCCAGTTGGGGGCACACCTCGATCTTTCTCTCCCTCTCTTTGCCTCTATCTGAAAATAAATAAGTTATTTAAAAAAATTGAATGTGGCAGCGAAGGAGATTGCCAAATAGGAAACATTTGGAGATGAGAGGGGGGAGGGTGTAGGTGGCCTGGGGGAGCCTCAACAATTAGTGAAGAGTAGGGTTGTAACAGCCCGACTAGATGTGGAGAAAAAGGAGGCTAACATGCCCACCACCTCAAGAGTGTTTCTGGAAGGAGTTCTCAGCAGTAGCAAAACCGAAAGAAACAGAGAACTGAAAAATACCAGTCACACCAACAAATACAGAGGTCATTGGTAACCTTAGTGATGTATTATTTTCGCTGCAAGGGAAATGAGTTAAAAGGTGAGTGGGAAATGATAAAAACAAAACATGGTAAGAAAAAAATGGAAGCTGAGGGGCTATTTTGGGATGGAACTGGAAGAACTGAGAGGTTAGTGGACGGCATAAGGAAGCCAAGAAGATGGGGAAAAAGCTGAGTACCAGTGAAGGGCTTGTTTTAAATGTGAAGGTCTAGTCCTCAGTTTTCATAGGAGGAAAGGAGAGGGCCAGGGGTGCAGACTTGAGTAGATTTGCCTTTCGTATGAAGAGATTGACTTCTATTTTCTCTGAACAAAAGCAGAATTTAACTGTCTCTGAATGTTAGTAATAACGGTGCCTTGTAAACTACTTGTTTTATATGTGTATGGATGCCTTCGCTCTCCAGCTGTTTCCCAGTTAGCTTTCCCAGTTAGCACTACATATTGTGTGCCCAAGTCCACATCGGTAAGAACAGAAACAACAGGTGCTTAATAAATGCTCGTTTGCTTTTTGAGTCTGATGATGATAAATCTGATGGTGCCCTGTTGTCAAGAAAAGTATAAGCTCTAATCAGGCCCCTATGACAAGGCGCCTGAGAAGCGTGATGAACGAGAACCGCCGTACTGGAATGACAGCCCAAGGAAACGAAATCCGCCAGGTCATTCCTTTTGGTCCGGGGCCCTAAGAGTTAAGATCAACGAGCACTGGCTGACTCTGTTTCCTAGAAAAACTGTAACAAGCTGGCTGCGGAAGCTAGGTCAACTTCCGGTTCCGGTCTGGCGGTTTGAGTGTCTGGGACCTTAGGTTGGTAGGGTTAGAAGTGGGGGCTCCTCCCACCGGGACATCTTGGCCTGCTAGGGGTGCAGGGCGCCTTGTGTGTAGCCCCCAGAACAGTAAGTTCCTTCTCGGGGGGAAGGGGGCTGAGGGCTGCGGGCAGGAGAGGAAACTGCACCGCCCAAGCTGCAGCAGACGCCCCGGCGGGGGATCCCGCTGCTGCGAGGGACGAGGGCCCAGCCTCTCCCACCGCCCCGGCCACTGCGCCTCCCTCGCCCGCGGAGTCCCTTAATGGATCGCCTCAGCTGGTGACAGTATGGTCTTGGGGAACTTGATCTCACAGGGCACCCCAACCTGTGGTCGCCGCCAAGGGTTCTTAATTGGCTAAGCTTCACTCAGTGCATTCAGACCCCTGAATGGGCGCTGACAGTGAAAACTGGCCCGCTCTATGGAGTGACACCTTAAGGACAGCCCTTCTGGTTTTTTTTTTTTTTTTCCTCTTTGAGAGAGAGATTTGTTGTTCCATTTATTTATGTAGTCATTGGTTGCTTCCCGCGTGTGCTCTCACAGAAGTGGAGCCTGGGACCTGGCCTTTGGGAGGGATGGGAGGATGCTTTAACCAACTGAGCAACCCAGCCAGGGTCCCAAAGACAGCATTTCAGTAGATGCAAACTCATCACCTTGAGTTTGCAGCCTTTTGACAGAAGCAGTGCACCTGAGGATGCCCCAGTACCAAAATTAATGGTGTCTTAGCAGGAAAGGTGCCGGCACGGGGATGTTACCCAGGCTCCCGCTTCCTTTGTAAGGACTTTGATAGAAATATGTAACTCGGAGAGCAAAACATGTTACTCCTATGTAACTCGGAGAGCAAAATATGTTACTCCATTTTTTAAAAGATTTTATTTATCTTTAGAGGGGAAGGGAAGGAAAGAGGGAGAGAAATATCAATGAATAGTTGCCTTTCATATGTTCCCTGCTGGGAACTGGCCTGCAACCCAGGCATGTACCCTGACTGGGAATCTACCCGTGATTCTTTGGTTCGCAGGCCCACACTCAAGCCACTGAGCTACACCAGCTTAGCTAGGGAATGTTACTCCATTTGAATTACTTTCTTCCCCTCCCTTAGGTGTCTTTCCCCTCTCCCCACACTCAAACACGGGATATTTATAATTGAGACTAGTTTCACCTTTTCTTAGAACCAGTCCCTAATTACTGAGGGTGTTTAGGGAATGCCAGCTCCATTTGGTATAAGATCTAAGAGATGTAAATCTGTTCTCTAAAAATCCAGTCAATACAATCTAAATAAGGGCCCTCTGACGATTGTTTGCAGTTTGGGGTTAGGCTCAGCTCTCAGCTTCCTGGTCCAGCATCCTGAAGTAGCTAAGAATGCGAGTCACTGCCCAGGTAGACTTGGGGTTGAGTCCTGGTCTACCACTCTTGGGTTGCGTGGCCTTGGCAGTTTCAAAATGTCTTTTTTATTTCTTTTATTTTTCCGAAAGGAAATTACTAACTTTTTAAAGTATAATTTATTGATTATGCTATTTTATTTATTACAGCTGTCCCAATTTTTTTCCCTTTGCCCCATGTACGTGGTACCTGCTTTTCCTCCAGCTGTCTCCCCACTTTGTTCATGTCCTCGGATCATTCATATAAATACTTTGGCTTCTCCATTTCCTATGCTGTTCTAAACCTCCCTCTATTTTGTACCTACCAATTATGCTTCTTTTATCTCTCTATTATGCTTCAATTATTCCTGTACCTTTCCCCCCTTTCTTCCCTTGTGATCTCCATTTTTATGATTCTGTTCCTGTTCTAGTTGTTTGCTTAGTTTGCTTTTGTTTTTTTTAATTTAGTTTTGAGTTTGTTGTCATTTTCCTGTTCATAGTCTTGATCTTTTCTTATGTAAGCCCCTTTAACATTTCATGTAATAAGTGCTTGGTGATAATGAACTTCTTTAACTTATCTGGGAAGCATTTTATCTGCCCTTTCATTCTAAGTGATAGATTTGCTGGATAATCTTGGTTGTATGTCCTTGCTTTTCATCACTTTGAATACTTCTTGCCAGTCCCTTTTAGTCTGCAAAGTTTCTTTTGAGAAATCAGCCGATAATCTTATGGAAATTCCTTTATAGGTAACTCTCTTTTTTTCTCCTGCTGCTTTTAAGATTCTCTTTAACTTTTGGCATTTTAATTATGATGTGTCTTAGAATGGGACTCTTTGTATCCATCTTGTTTGGGACTTTCTGTGCTTTCTGGACTTGCATGTTTATTTTCTTCACTTAATCAGGGAAGTTTTTCATTATTTTTTCTAATAAGTTTTCAATTTCTTGCTTTTGCTCTTCTCCCTCTGGCATCCCTATGATTTGGATGTTGGCACATTTGGAGATGTCTCAGAGTCTTCTTATTCTCTCATTCTTTTGAATTCTTGTTTCTTCATTTTATACTGGATGACTGTTTATTTCTTCCTTATGTTCCAAACCATTGATTTGAACCCCGACTTCCTTTCCTTCACTGTTGGTTTCCTGTGGATTTTTCTTTATTTCACTTAGTGTAGCCTTCATTTCTTCCTTTATGTGTTTGCCATACTCAGTGAGTTCTCTGAGCATCCTTATCTCCAGTGTTTTGAACTCTGCATCCAAGAGGTTGGCTATCTCTGTTTCATTTGATATTTTTCTGGAGTTTTGATCTGTTCTTCCATTTGGGCCATATTTTTTTGTCTACTCAATTTGGCGGCCTCCCTGTGTTTGTTTCTGTGTATTAGGTAGAGGTGCTTTGACTCTGTGTTGGCACTCTTGTTACATTGTAAGGGGTGGAGCATTAGATATTCACAAGGATGTGGCAACCCACTTCATCTGCTCTGTGGTGTTGTGTGTGGGGGAAGATTCAGAGAGGGAACAGTTCTGCTTGCTTGGCTCTGGTCCTGTTTCCAGTGACTTCCTGAATGTGACTGGCACCCTTCTACCTGCTGCACTGGTGCGGAATCCCAGAATGGGTGGGTTTGTGTATGTTCTAGGGCTGCGCGGGTCCTTTAAACAGACTCTCCTGAGGGACTGGCAGTTTCTTCTACCACTCCAACCCTCACTGGCTTTTACAGCTAGAATTTATGATGCTTTATTTCCTGGTGCTGGAACTCGGCCCTGCAGTCTCACCTGGGGCTGAGACGGTTCACTCCCCAGGTGTCCCTCCCAGCTTTTATCTATCACACATGAGCGTGCAGCCATCCATTCCTCTTTGCTTCCACACTGCATCATCTCTGCCCGAGCTCCCCGTCTCCACCCCTCCTACCAGTCTGGCTATTTCTTCTTTAAATCCTTGGTTGTCAGACTTCCACACCGTTTGATTTTTTTGCAGTTCTTCTTGTATTTTGTTTTGAGATTTGTTGTGATCCTTCTTATGGTTGTGTGAGGAGGCACAGCATGTCTACCTATGCCTCCGTCTTGGCCAGAAGTTCAAAATGCCTTTTTTAGGTCATCTATAAAATGCTGGTAATTGTTTACACACCTAAGAGGGCTGTTGTGAGAATTAAATGAGAAATATTATGTGTAAATTATTCAGTTCACTTCCTGGCACAAAATAAGTATTAATAGGTCAAAATTATAGTATATAATTTTGTGCTTGGTTTTCATATGCACGCCTTTGTATATCCTTTTAGACTTTCATTTTTCTGAAATTATAACTTGGCTTGGATGCCAAGTTCACATATAACTGCCTTCCAGTGATAGATCATGTTTTCTAGTCCCATCAAGTAGGTCAGGGATTGTATTTTGCTGAAAAAGGTGAAGTTTAGACTGAAATGGATATTGAGATTATAATAGAGGGAAGGAAGAAGTCCCTTGTTAGATTTTTTTTTTTTTAAGATTTTATTTATCTTTAGAGGGGAAGAGAAGGAGAGAGGGAGAAAACTATCAATGTATGGTTGCCTCTCGTGCCTCTCGTGCATCTCCTGCTGGGAACTGGCCTGCAATCCAAGCAATGTGCCCTGACTAGGAATCGAACCCCGATCCTTTAGTTTGCAGGCCCATGCTCAATTCACTGAGCTACACCAGCCAGGGCAGATTTCTTTTATATTTAGGGGTTATTGTTTATAATTATTCTAGCTCTGCTTTGTACTAATTTCTTGTTATTAGTTATAGGAATCCTAAGTTATTATTTCTAAACTATACAGGTTTTTTCCTCTTTAGCTGCTTTGTATACCTGCATATTGATTTCTTGAAGTCTTATTGTTGGTGTCTTCCTCCACGACCCCTCAGAATCCCCTTTTTTAAATTAAAGTGTTTTAAGATCTGAGTGGACAGTTAGTATTGTATTCATTCACTTTTTTGAAGCTGTATCCTCAGACCCTAATGTGAACATTTAATATTTTTAATTATTTCCTTGGAAAAAGTAAATTGAGTTAATGTTTAATTTTAAACATGTGCATCTGAGAAAAGATTTTTCTAAAAGGGCTTCTAAAGACCATTTATTTCCAGTATTATTAACAAAACATTCTGTACTTAAATTGTTGTGTTACAATGGTTGGGAAGGAAAGAGGAAGACCAAATCCTAACAGATACCCCCAAACATGACCTGTTTCCTTCTGCAGGGTTTCTGATTCCTAACCTGGCTGTGATCGTTGTGATGGAGCAAGAGCAGAAACCACTGGTCTCAGTTGCTAACGGCCTCACGGAGAGGGGGAGTTTGAAAAACTCTTTTACAGGTGAGGGATCAGTAAGATGATCTGAATACTTTGGAAATCCATTATAAGATGCACTATAAAGTGTGTAGAAAGAACAAGGCATTAGAATGAAACAAACTTTTAATTTCTTGTTCTATAACTCACAAATTGTGTTAAGTCTTAGTCTTAGTTTTCTTTTTAAGAAAAAGAAGTGATAATATCTGTCTCGCATATATTTTTAGGATTATTGAGACACTATATATTCTTAATAAATATAGGCATACTTAAGAGATATTGCAAGTTCAGTACCAGATCACAATAAAGCAATTATCTCAATAAAGTGGGTCATAATCATTTCACTGGTGTAGGTGCTTGCTGTCAATTTGTAAAAAAAATGCACCATCTGTGAAACTAAGTTCAATAAAGCAAAGTATGCCTGTAGTGGCTATCGTCATTTCTATATCTGCTGAGGTACTTACGTCTAGCTTTCACATCAGGTGGTATGCTATTCAGTGTCTCCCCCACTCAAGTCCCCTCCCCCACTTTTTTAAGTCTTCTAGAATGAAACTAGTGAATTTATTTTAAATGAACATCTCTCTTGGCGATTGCTGACCCTTGTTCAAACACTTTCTAGTGTTGTTACTAAATACAAAAAAAGCACTTGCTTCTGATGTTAAAGAAGTAAAACTAGCTTTAAAAAAGTTTTTATATAAAATAATGTACAAGGTTTTACTGGGTTATTTCCTCTCTTCCACTGCAATTCAGAATTCCCCTGGTGGAAATTAGGGGCTATGTTTAGAATATTTGTTTATTTTTTGCAGGAGATGAAAGTAAGAATAATTTAGAAACCGTTCAGCACAACAACCTTAAGGCAGATAATCTTAAAGAGAGAGCCTCAAAATGGTCTAAAAAAGATGGCCCACAAAACTTTAAGCAAGAGGATACAAAAGAAATACCATTGACACTGTCCCAGGGAGGTGAGACTTGGTGTGATGGCTTCTATGAGAATGACAGCAAGTCAGAGAATCGGGAAAATTCTACAGGAAAAGAGGAAGAGAAACCCAGTGACTCAGGGGAACATGCCAATACGTCTGGCCAGCAGAATTCATCCTTCAAAGACAAACGTCATAAATGTTTTGAATGTTGGAAAAGCTTCAATAATAGTTCTCATTTGCGTGCTCACCAGAGGACCCACTCAGGAGAAAAACCTTATAAATGCTTTGAGTGTGGGAAATGCTTCAGTAACAGCTCCCACCTGATCCAGCATCTGCGAACACACACAGGAGAGAAGCCCTACCAGTGTGGGGAATGTGGGAAAAACTTCAGCAACACGTCCCATCTTGTTATCCATGAGAGGACTCACACGGGGGAGAAACCCTACAAGTGTCCCGAATGTGAGAAGAGTTTCAGTAGCAGCTCTCACCTGATTCAGCATTACAGGATACACACTGGGGAGAAACCGTATGAATGTCCCGTTTGTGGGAAATGCTTCAGCCACAGTTACGTCCTAATAGAACATCAGAGGACTCACACTGGAGAAAAACCTTACAAATGCTCTGATTGTGGGAAGGGTTTTAGTCAGAGTTCCAGCGTGATTCGCCACCAGCGGACACACACAGGTGAGAAACCCTACAGATGTACTGAATGTGGAAAAAGCTTTGGTTGTAATTCCACTCTAATAAAGCATCAGAGAGTACACACGGAAGTCTGTCCAGAAAGTACGCAGCCATGTAATATGACAAATAGAGACATTTATTGAAGAAGAGATAAGAAACTTTGTACATAGGACAGTGATGCCTCAGTCCCCTTCAAAGTAGGTACCTTGGGACCACACACGGTTCTCCCAACCACCATCACCCGCCCTGTCATATTTTCCTGAATATCGACAGTCTGAAATTTCTTTCCTTTCTAAGGTGGTTTTAGTTTTGGGAAAGCCAGAAGTCGCAGGGCACTAAATCTGGGCCATAGCAGGCTGAGTCAGCTGCAGCTGGCTGTACGAGCTGATTTGATGTTTTGCCAAAAAACCACACGACATGATACATGAGCAAGTGTGTTGTGATGAAGCCGTCAATCGCCAGTTGCCCATAGCTGTGGCCTTCTGAATCATCCGAATAGTTTCTGCAAAGGAATGTTCAAGCTTAATGCAAAATTTGATGCTGATTCATTGCTGTACTTGTTCAGTCTATTGAATGTGACAGCCACACAGGACACAGGTTCACTCAGCAGTGTCTACTGCCCCTGCTGACAAGTACAGTGAAGTCGTCATTGTTCACACATGTGCATTCCAGTCCACTCTCCTTGGCTGTCAGGTTACACCGGTGTTGCACAAACTATTGTTATATTAACACTGGCTGAACATTTTCTGGACAGACCTCGTTTAGTGTGGGAAGAGTTTTGGCCATCGCATTAGACATCAGAGGACTCGTACAGGAGAAAACCCTTTCAGTGGTTCTGAGTGCCGGGGAACCTTCCATCAGAGTTCCATCCTGGTGGTTCACCAGAAGACTCACGCAGGAGAGAAACCTTGTAAATGTCCTGACTGTGGTGAGGGCTTCAGTCAGAGCTTGAACCTTATCAGGCGCTGGAGGACCCGCATCAGAGGACGATCTTCCTAGTGTACCGACTGTGAGAAATGCTCAGCAGAAGTGCCTACCTGTCCATGTCGGAAAATTTACAAAAAAGTTTTTGAGCCTCCTGAAGGTGAAGATTCGCATGAGTGGACTCTGAAAAACTGTTCAGAGTAGCTTGCCCTTATCTGTTCATTTTCAGTCCCAAATTCATCTTCCTCTGAAGTCCCAGAACTGGTTTTTCCTTTCTTTTTGGACCATTACAATTAAAGTATTCTCTGACCATTATGCTACAAAGTATTTTTGGCTTGTTTGCTGAAACATCTAGAAAAAGTCAACTTCTCTGTTTAAGGATGAGAAGACCCAGATCACCAGATCAGTGAATCTGCTGTGAGAGATCCTGTCAAGAATGGACAGGAAGGAGGAATTTGTTTTGATCTGAGGAAAGAAGGGAAGAGCCTCAGAAGAGCCTCAGAGGAAAACCTGAAGCATCACCTAAAGCAGTGACACCTGAGAGTTGGGAGCCGCGACTGCCATTGAGTTGCCTTATTTTCTCTTCCCTGATGGGGTGGCAATAAATTATTACTGGTCTCAGGGATTTACCCAGAGAAAATTCTTTTTTGAACCAATAACCTGATTTCCTGGCTATTTTGCTGGGTCTTCAGGAAGAAAGGATTCCTTTCTTCAAAAAAAAAAAAATGCATGTTTGATCACTGAATGTGAACTTTTGTAGCTTTAGAACTGCACTAATACAATAGTCGCTAGCCACACGTGGCTATTTAAATTGATATAATTAACATTAAAGGAAGTTCAAAATTCAGTTCCTTAGTCTTACTAGCCATTTGGATCACCTTTGAAGTTAGCCTCAGAGACCTTGGTGTCTGTTGAGTGGCCGGAGGGGAAATAAAGGCAGGGCCCTCGCCATTCCAATCTAACCAAGAACTCAATGCAGGAGGCTGGAAGCAAAAGGAGGACCCGTCCCACCAGTTGACTCAGCAGTCCTGAGCCCGGTCCAGTGAGCCTGATGGGTACCGAACAGCACAAGCAGAAACAGCACGGGGAGGGGAGTCCTTGAGACTGCTGGGACAGGGGGCCTCTGTCACAGTTTCACTAGGATGAAGAGCCTTTACTAACTGAGAAAAAAAGCCTGCGTAGCTGTACGTTATTCCCAAGATTTAGAGGGGAAAGGAGGGAGAACCTAAAAGCTGACTAAGGTCAATAACCCCTGAACCCGAAGGTACTTAGTAGCTAAGTACCCACTTGTAGCCTCGGCTCAAGTGTATAAAACTAACTCACTAACAAACTTACAACTTTCTTTCCTCTTGTGTGTGGGGCATTTAGACTTAGCTGGGGGCCTGCTTGCAGCTTTGTGCTCACGTATATTTCATAAATAAACTTGCTATTTCATTTCCATTTTGCATTTGTCTCTTGATTGAATTATTTTGTTGTAAGACAAGAACCAAGGTAAGTGGTGGAGGGTGGGCGGGGGGCCCCCTGACTCGGGTCTCTCTCTGGAACATACTTTGGTGCTGTGTCTCAGATCATGACCCTGGTTCTGCCCTTTGTCTCCAGCTGTGTTTTATTGCCGGTTTCACCTTCAGGGTTAAAGGACATGCAGCAATGCTATAGAAGAGGGGTATCCAGGTAGAGTAGGTCTGTGTTCAGAGGCAGAAGCAAGGATAAGACCCAAGATGAGTGCTCAGGTTTGCCTGTGTTTCCAAGACTGAAGAGGTACATACTCCCTCTGGTCCGAGTTCGCAGGCATCCCTGCGTGAGTAGGGGCCTCATGGAGGTGTGTGGGGTTAATCCAAAGATGTGCAGGGAACTCCCATCACTGTAATGTAACTTTGGCTTGTCAGGGGACATGCCAAATAAGGATTGGTCACCCAGAACTCTGAGCCTGCCCTCAGCTGTTTTAGACCACCAGGGGAGATACCAAGATGTAAGAGAGCTGGGGATGACCAAAGGTGTAATGGCCCTTGGGAGCCCCTCATAAACTTTGACACACTACTCAAAATCTCCTGGTCTTTTCTACCTCCCAACCATGGCCAGGGAACAGTAAGTCTGAGTCATTAACTGGTTGTAACCCTGCTGAATCTCTCCTATGGGTAGTGCATTTGTCAGGTGAATGTCTTGTTCTCCCTCTCGAAAAATAGTCATGCCCCTTTGAGGAGATAAACCTTTTGTTTCCTCTAAGTTCCAAGGGTCCCATAAAGACTTGCAGCCCAGGGTGTGGAGGGGCTTACTCCCTGTTCCTGTCTCCAGCGCCCCCACCCCAGGCACAGCCTTTTCGCTGACTTTCAGCTGAAGAAGACAGCTGAGGCTTGCTCACTCCTTCCCTATCCATAAATTTTCTATGAGCCAAAGCAGCCCGCCCAGGCTTTCTCCTGTTGCTTCCCTCCACCCTAAGTCTTTCCTTTGTTTCACTGTCCCCGAGAGCAATAACTCCCCCTCCCTCAATGTGCAAAAGAGAAAAAACTGGTACTTTTAAAACTGAAGTGGCTGAAGATCTCTCAGCACCTCCACCCCACTCCTCCGGCCTCCTTGCAGTTGTCAAGGTTACAAGCTAACAAAACAGCTCACTTTTGAGCACTGTGTATCTGCCAGTAGAGAAAAGAACTTTTATTTCTGAATGAACTGAAAAGAAACAAACTAAAAGGGACTGTGCATATTATAGCAAGCCTACAAATTGAAGAAGGTTTGTAAAAAATCTTGAGAGGAAATTGTATAAATAAGCTAACACAAAATTTGGTTGGTTCTTCTCACTAGTAAGTGGGGGGAAGTTTTTCCTATATCTGCCTATAAAGCAAAGCATTTAATTATATCTCATGGTGTGTTAATCAAATGTTTGATTAACTTTCAAAGAAAATTCATGTCTCTTAATCCTGAGAACTAAAGTTTTGTCAGCCTATAGTGATATTTCATGCCTTTTATTATCACCTAAAATAGTCAAATCATTTCATAACCTATTCCTTAAGTCAAGTATGTTTTGCAAGATTTCCATGGTTTAAATTTTAAGTCTTTTTCTTAACCCAGGGATAACTTTGGGGTATATCAAAGCACCCGTGAAATATCTCAAGGATTTGTTCTTTCTTACAAAAGAAAAATTTTAGACTAATCAGGCTTGTTTAATATATTTAAAATACCCGGAAAGCTTTGTCAAAGAAATTATATAAAAATCTCCAAAAGTCTGCAAAGTTCTAATATACTTGCATCTATAATTTAACAGTTACTGTAGAATGTTGTGTCTTGCAGAAGGGACTTGTGAGTTGCAGAAGGATTGCATGTGTTGCAGAGGGTTCATGTAAGTCACAGAGTCTACCAGTTGGAAAAGGATCGTATAGGGGAGAGGAGCAAAAAAGTAATTGAGGTAGTGAAATGGGGACAGAAAGGAAAAAGGAAAGAGACATATAAGAAGAAAGGGCATTGGAGTAGGAAACTCAAGGAGAGAAATTGGAATGAGGTTAACTAGAAATAAGAAAGAAAAGGAAGGGTACACAGTTAAATAGCAAATGACAAATGAAAAGGCCAAGAGCTCCCTTCACTTTTCCAAAGCCAATCGTTATTTCCCAATAGATACCCCAGGTAAAATGGGCAGGTGGGGATTAAGAAATTAATTTTTCAGCCTGATAATACTTTCATTTATAACTTTAGTGTTATTTCAAAACCTTGTTATGAAAAGCAAAATACTTTGTCAGTTGTAATCACTGAATTATGACCTAATTTGGAGTAACTTGCAGACTGTTCTCTTCCATTGCTGTAGATAAAGAGCACCACCAAGAGAATCTGCAAGGGCTGATGCTGAAAAAATTAGCTGGTCATCATACTCAGCAGCACACATCAACCAGGGGGAAATACAATCCCAGATCAGGACCCTAACTAGATCTACTGAACTAGGACAAATGAAGGACAAGAGGGGAAGAATAAAAATTCTTTCTAATTGTCCCTTTCAGGGGCAATAAACTAAGGCTTTACAAGAGTACACAAACATCAATCCCAAGTCTGCCAAGGGCTGAACACTTAGGGGAATACATCCACCCACTGAGCAACGGAAAGAAATAGCTATCAGTGTTTTTGACAATCAGGGCAAAGGAAGAACAAGAGCCACCACTCAACAGAAACAGGGTCTCACTTGTCAGTCCCACCTTTAAGCCCTATACCCTCTCAGGGTACCCATCCTCCAGAAATCCAGAGAAGGGGAGAGGAGCCTTACCACCGCACATCCCTGCTGGACAGTCTTGCTGCCGTCTCATGGGGCAGCCTTACTACTGCTCATCCCTCATGTTTTTTTTCCCCTTCTCTGGTCCCCGCTGGTACCTCTAGAGAGGCAAAGCCAGATAAGAACTTTATTGAGGAACTCCTCCCATTGGCCAAAGGAAGATAGGGACAAACACTCTGGAAGGATCCATCCATAACAGAGATGCACAGAATCTCGAATCCTGGGAACACCAAGCCCCTAAGGCTATGACCGGAACACACTGAGCTCTCCAGCTGACTGTGTTTCCTCCTTCCAGACGTTTCTACATCTGTCCATAATGGAGACATCTGTGTTGGATAAAGCGGAGTCTCGGGTTCTGGAATACCACAACTCTCAGGTTATGAGCCCAAATATAGGCTCTCTAATCTCTCAGTGTTTCTTCCTTTCGGATGGGAAATCAGGAGTCTATCCCAGGTGGAACCCCACTAAGCTATATCCTTTCCAACTGCTCACTAAAGAAGGAAAGACTAATGTTTTTTTTTTTTTGTTTGTTTGTTTTTACTGCACTGCTTGGCCTCAATATCAGTTAGCTGATGGGGAATCCCAGCCTATATATGGAAGCTTAAATCAGAATACCATATTCCAACTTAATGACTTGCAAACGCCTAGGCAGGTGGTCAGAAATCCCACTGTACAGGCATTCTTCTATTTAAGGGGCAGGGGGGACCCGTGCTCCAAATACAAACTCTTACCACAGTACCATCTGGTGGCCATTCCATAGGCAACTCCTCTTCTCCACCCTCGCCTTTAGAAAAAAACCCTCTAAGGGAAGTGCCCTCAGCATCCTCACCACAACTTCCACACCCTGGACATTCAACTCAATCAGCAACCCTCATGCCTTCTGGTCCTGGGCCCTCTTACCATTAATCAAGGCTGCAGGAGAATATGGTCTTTAGCTAGAATGTAAACCCTTCTCTCTTGCAGAGCTTAAACAAATTAAGGCAGACTCGGAAAGCTATTCTGACACCACAGATAAGTACACAGGTGCACTCCAACACCTTACCTTAGCTTATGAGTTAAGCTGGAAGGATACTGTGGTTGTCTTAGGACAGACCTTATCAGATCTTGGAAAGGAAAAGTACTGGAGGAAGCCAGAAAACTTGCTAACAACTCACACCTATCTGATGGCAAATATCCCATTGGAGAGTCAGCAGTTCTGCCTGTAGACCCTAAATGGGGCTGCGGTGACTTCTCCCAAACATGGGAAAGAAATTACTTTCTAATTTGCATTAAAGCAGACTTCAAGACAGGCTGACAAAAGGCCATTAACTATTCCTAGGTCTCTACTGTCAGCCAAGGCCTGGATGGGAATCCCACTGTTACAGAACAACAGCTCCTCCCACCATCACCCCCCCCAGCCATGGTATACTAATACCATCTGGACCACCACCTACTGGGCTCGTCTGTCCACTGCCAGACAGGAAAGACGTCTCTCAATGCCAGAGATTTGTGAAAAGGAAAGGTTTATTTAAAGCTATACAGACTTGAACTAGTGACCCAATGTCCCCATTAAAATATCAAAGTCCTTTTGGATAACCACAGATGCCCACAGCACTTCCCTCCCTCCTGCCCTAATTCAGGGTACTGTATCTCAGGAAAAGAAGCACACGTCTGTGTTTCAGGCCCCTGGCACCATCAGCTGTGCTGCCATCCAAGCAGGATCTCTAATTACTCCAAAGCCAGGTGGCACCCTCTCATGGTCTACTGGCAAAGACTTCTTTCACCCTTCTTCCAGGCAAAGTCTCTCCTAGTTCCCAGGCCACGCGGCCAAAGGGAGCACCCCAAAGCTGCATGGTCCTCTTCTACCAGAGCTGCAGGGGTCTGCACTCTGTTCAAAACTGCATGGTTCTTTCCCCCACCAGAGCTGCGGAGAGGGTAGGGTCACCACTCTGGCAAAGCGTAGTGGCAATTGTCTGCTAAGGCTACATGGTCATTCTCTCTCACATGCCTGTGTGGGTCCCCACTCTGGTAAAGCCGAGTGGTACTCCTCCTCTTACATGGCCAAGAGGAGGTCCTCACTCTGCCAAAACTGTGTGGCTCTCCTCTTTACCTGGCTGCAGGGGTCCCCACTCTGGCAAAGCTGCGTGGTACTTCCTCAATGGCTGCCGTATCTGGGTTTTAAATCCCTACACCAGTCCTCCTTTGCAGCCCCATT